TCTCCCAAAGTCTGTCATGTAAGATTGAACAAAATGCTTCCAGCGAAGTTAATTACGACAATGTCAGGTCAGGCTGGAGTTCATGCTGAAGTGGCAGCAAAACTGAACGCTTTTTTGTACAGTTCAGTTCCGATTCGCAGAACAACCAAATGGAAGAAGACCAAGGACTAAAGATTGAAGATTTCTGCAGATGCTGCTAGACACTAGAGTCAATCGACAAAGAATGGTCAACCACCAGTTTCGGAAATGAAGCCACAACAAAGCGCAAAAACTGCACTTCCTCCAGTGTCCACTTGAGGCTAGCTCAAAAATCCAGGAACAAATGGGCGATGCCACCTGGGCAAAGTCTATGTTATACAATCAATGGCATAGATGAAGTTAATCTTCAACTCACTGAAGAATAAAACGATTAAAAGTTCACCTGTTGGCTGGCAGAGCAATTAATAGATGATCTGAACGGTAAAAGCAGCAAATCTATCTCATTAAGCAACTTCACTCTGATCTGAAAAATGAAATGCAGTTATGACTAAAATCAAGGATCTGAAGTGGATCATGCAAATGTGAATAAATGACAGTAAATCAGGCTCATGTACAAGCAATTAACAGAAAACACACGAAAGGAGCGATTAACGGAGATTGTGACTCACGAAAGAAGCATTAAATAGGTTTGTCTCACGAAATAGGAGATCTGACTCACACAGAAACGCAATATAGATTTGACCGCCCTCTAATAAGGGAATAGTCTCTATAACCTGACTCCTGGAAAAAAAAAAAAAAAACACTGTATGGATGTCTGACTCACAAATGAATCATAATCACGAAGAAGAAATTAAATACGGATCAGATGCCTGGAAAAAGGAAATATTAGGGGATCTAATTCCCAAATTGAAAGGAAAGGTCAGTGGATCGTGTTACTGAAAAGTATTAATAATTAGGGGATCTGACAATCTGGGAAGCAACTCATGAAAACGACACTGATAGTAAATATGACTCATGAAAAAAAAAAACACACAATTTAGCAAATAATGCTGATTTGACCTCCAAGTATCCCTCGACAGCAGCTCAAGTTCATGTAGGTCTACAAGTAATTAATAACAGACTCACAAAAGGAGAATTCAACATGTCTGTCTCACGAAACAGGCAATTAACGGCTAATCTGACTCACACATAAAAAAGCAATATAGATTTGATTGTCCACTAATCAAGGAGTATAACTTGACTCATAACCTTCCAGGATAGGAGATCTGACTCACGAATGGAACTTTTGCAAATTTATCATCATCCAGAAAATGAAAAAAGAAAACACTAGTGGATGCTGCTCCTAATGAGAAGCAATAATTAAGTAATCTGATTTCTTAGACAGCAACTGAAAGTGGATCAAACTCGTGGAAACACTATGACCCACGAAAAACTAACACATGGTTGATCTGACTCACGAACATGTAATTAATTAGGTTGAAACGTATGAAGATTACAATAAAGGCAGATCAGACCGCAGATCTACAACTAATTAATAACAGACTCACAAAAGAAGCAATTACTAGTGGTTGTGACTCACGACAGAAGCATTCAAAAGGTCTGTATCATATAATTTGCCATTGAAACGAAGCAATATAGAGATGTAACTCATGAATGAAGTATTTAAATAAACCATAATCACAAAAAGAAGTTAACTGCTGATCAGAAGCTTAGAGAGGGGTTCATTAGTGGACCCTATTCTCAATTAGTAGGAGTAACCAGGTGATTTTACATCCATATTCATAGAGAACAACCTCCACAGTAAATATGACTCTATCGTAAAGTTGATTTGAGTCATGAAAATGTTATTTACAAAAGAGGAACCCAATTAGAGCAGATTGGACCCTTAAACGACTCACGGCAGATCAAGCTCATGTACAACTAATTAATAACAGACTCACGAAAGGAGCAATTAATAGTGGTTGTGACTCAGGAAAGAAACATGCAATAGGTCTTTCTCACGAATAAGCAATTAACAGTCGATCTGACTCATACAGAAAAAAAGGATATAGATTTGTCCTCTCATCACAACAACTAGGTAATCTGACTTTTCTAGAAGGCAGGCGATAGTGGATGAAACTCATGACAAAACAATTAAATGGCAGATTTGACTCATGAAAAACTAATATGTAGTAGATTTCACTCATGAAAACAACTGAGCGATTACAGCGAATCAGCCTCGTGATAACCAAATGTACGTTGTAACAAATTTAACTCGCAAAAAGGCGATTTCTTGGCCTCTTTATTTCTATGATCTTTCTGTATGACATTATTGAACAAGAATTTAACTTTTTAGGGTGAAGTTTTCCGCCTTTGTGCCACCGTAGGTTGTTTTTGTGCCCCACAGCTGCAGGTGCAACATATATATAGCTGTTATGGCAAACACAATCCTGATGTTATGGCTTTAAAGGTGGGTCATGTCCTCATATGAGGGATGTTTACATTTTTTGTCTATTCCCTCCATTTGCAACACCAGGGAAATCCCGAACCTGTTACAGCGTGCAAGCTTTCCCTCCATTAAAACATCCAGGAATGTCCCACTGAGTCGGGAACAGAAACACAAAACAAATACACGAACAATAGCATGTACAGTAATTACAGAGTCAATGTGTGGTGTCAGTAAACACGGCTAATCCCGAAGAGGAAAAAACCACAGACCAGAGCCAGATATCCCTTAAAAATGCACAGATTTTTGGTTTTGGTGATATTGCAGTGAGCTGTCCGTCTTAGAGAGCTTTACTCATAATTCTGCAATTAGAGCTGGACGAGTGCCTGCGCAACACGCCGCAAAGCATGCAGGGAAGTGTACTGTTTGTGCTGTTTACTTATCCCACAATGAGGGATGATTTTGAGGTGTAAGAGGACCACAGCTCCCAGTCTTTCCCCTCCGGCTGGTTGAGGAGTGGGTGCGGTGCTCCTCTCTGCCCACCAGCTGGCACTGAGAGGGCTATGTCTAGGAAAAGGGACGGCTGCCAGGCCTCAATTACTGAGGGGAATAATCCAGGACACACTGAAGCAATTACAGCCCCATATAAATCAATATGCTTTGGGTTAAAAAGTGATCTTCTCCCAACACTCTGGAGAGGCTCTGACTCAGCCGGCCTTTGATTTTTCAGGGAGATGGGAGCAGTTTCTTGGCAGATGTCGCGTAGGGATGCTGCTCGAGCTGCTGCTGCTGTTGTGGTTTTAACTATCACTCAGGCTCAGGAGACGGTCAGGTGACACCGGCTGAGAGGAAGAGAGGGGATGAGTATTGATTTACAGTCACTGACACTGTAAAAACAAATACTGGGAAATTTCAGATGAATAAAAAACCTCTCCTGTAAATCACAATATTGGCATTCGCCGTGGATGTGTAATTGTGACGCACAGACAGGATATGGACGGACATGAAGGTGTCATTTATGTTTGAGAAAAAGTCACGAGCTGTGTCAGGAGAGGAGGAAATTTGCTGACAGCTCTTTCTTTTTCTGTGAAGCTCTACTGCAGAGCCTGTATGCTCATTATAATGACTACACCGCCATCTACTGGTGAAAGAGGGTGAATGACATGACAGTGTTAGATTTAGCTGTAGCAGAGATGCTTCAGACAACTTTGAATGAAATTTAAGACTTTTTAAGACCCAAACAAAGAAAATTAACTTAATTAGGCATATCTGACCATACATTCTTGGTTTAAAGCTTTTCTGCACGTCTTACAAATCACCTGAGGAGCATTTCGACCATTCTTGGGTATCATCTATGGGCCAAATTTCCCTGAGCTTGCATGTTTTTCATCTTCGTCTTATTCTTTCACTGTTAAATTCTAAGGATACGTGGGTAATGTGGGTTCATATGTGATGATAAAGCCACAAAAACCAGCTACTCAACATGAAAGAATAAAAAGAAATAATGTAACTCTGACAGAAGGACAGGAAAGACTTGCTCAGACATTTTATGGCCCTAATTTTTTGTTATGCTCATTTACAGGCTTGATATTGTCCTCCTGATATCTTTGTAGTAGTTTTATTTACAGGTGCAAAAATTATGTATCCAAGGCTGGTGTCTCTTCACTCTTTTAACCCTCTACAACACTCTCAAAGCCTCCTCCACTGTTGCCATGCTACAACATCATGTTATACAACAAGATATGAGTTATGGTCATGTGTTTTGGACTCCAAATCTGACAGAAATTTCATGAGAGGATATAAAAAATCTGCAACGACACTTCCAACTGCCATCTTTTCATATTATCTTTGCTTTCTTTTTGCAACTCTGACTTTTTGATACAATTTTTTCTGCTTCATAAAGTCAACCTTTGCTCATTCTCCACTCATCTTCTCCTGTTTATTTTTTTCCTGCTATATCCAGCATCCTGTTCCCTCAAACGAAAGACATAAAAGCCTGAAAATCTAACTTAAAAGCTCCCATATGGAACTTTTAGCATGGGTTGTTTGGCGCCCCCTGTGAAAAAAATAATGCCTCTTCACCTGAGTTTTTTGATGTATGATATAATCTTGTTTTGCTTTTGCGGTGAAATATCACTTTGTGCAAATACTTGCCTTAGAAAATGTCAAGAAAGGAGGTTTTACAGCCCAAAGAGAAATCTGACAGCTACCCCACAGAAGGGTACTGTGGAGTAGGGGTCAGATGGGGTATTAGGCTGCGTTTGAGCTACCTCGGAAGTCAGATGTCGGAGCTGAAAATGATTTCAGTTACCAAGTCAGAAAAAAAAGCAAAATCGGAGGCGGAAAAAAGATGGCTACATCTGCCTCATTCTGCCTCAGCTCCGATATCCGACTTCCGAGGTGACTCGAACGCAGCAGAATACAGATGCTATTAGTCTTGTTACTGATCATCTCATTTGCTTTTGTCGTTCATTAAGATTAATCACGATGAATTTCATTGTAACATAACGAGTCAAAACCTCCTCACTGTAGCTTTAAAAATATAAAGCAAACACTGCCATCACTGTCTTTGAATAAAAAGAGAAGGAGCAGGAAGTATATATTTAAGATAGATTTATTTCAAAAAGCCGTTTAAGTTGAAAGTTCATCTGGCTTTTTTTTATTTACATGCTTCATAGATTATCCATCTGCTTTACAGGTTACCTGAATTAAGACCTTAGACTCTGAGATGGTCACAGTGAAACAATAAAGAGCAGTCATGATAAAGAAATGATTCTGTGACTTTGATTCCAGCTCAGATCTTAAATGAATGAAAAACAAAGATTTCTACTGAAACTCTATTCTGACTTCTTGATCGAACGCTTCCTCCATTTTCACGTCGTGTGTGAGCGAATGTTCCCACAGAGACTTTTTATGGAGGAAGGCCAGCCCGCACTCCTCGCACATGTAGCTCTTTGGCTTCCCGCTGTGAGTCCGCTGGTGTTTCTTCATGTGATACGACAGCCTGAAGCCTTTGTCGCACACGCCGCATTTAAATGGTTTCTCTCCCGTGTGGATGCGCATGTGCGACTTCAAGTACCCCGACTGGATGAAGGCTTTCCCGCACACCTCGCACTTGTACGGCCGCTCCCCGGTGTGGTAGCGGTTATGGAGGCGGAGCTCGTTGGCGGTCAGGAAGGTCTTCCCGCACTCGGTGCACTGGTATGGTCTCTCGCCCGAGTGGATGAGCTCGTGCCTCTTCAGCGATGTCTCCTTCATGAACTGCTTCCCGCAGCTGTTGCAGGGGTACCGGACCCCGATGTGGATTTGCTCCACATGGTTGGTGAGCTGCAGTTTCGTGCGGTACGCCTGGTCACACTGCGTGCAGGCCCACGGTTTCTCCTCGGAGTGGGTCCCCATGTGCACGGTGAGCTCCGAGGCAGAGCGGTAACTCTTCCCGCACTGCCAGCACAGGAAGGGTTTCTCTCCGGTGTGTTTCCTCAGATGAACCGTGAGACAGTTGGAGGACCTGAACTTCTCAGGACACAGATGACACATGAAAGGAAACTCTCCTTTGTGGATTCTTTGGTGGATGGCGAGGTAGGACAGAGAGATGAAGGATTTGTCACATTGCGGACAGGGATATGGTCCTGTAAAGTTGTGCAGCTTCTCATAATGTTCCCTCAAGCGTCTCAGCAGAGTGAAAGACTTCTCGCACATTGTGCACTGCATCGGCCGGTGCATGAGCTTGTGCCTCTCGAAGGCGGGCTCATTGGCGAGGATCTTCCCGCACTCTTTACAGTAGAGCGGATCGTGGATCCTCTGGTGCACTTTGAGCATCGTCATGCTCTTGAACTCTTTGTTGCAGTCGTTACATTTCATAACTTCCCTCAAGTCCACTTTGCAGATGTTCTCCTGATGCTCCTTTAACGCAGACAGATACTCAAAGTGTTTCCCGCAGTTTGAGCACCACACGGGGATTTTCAACGCCGACGTTTGCTGCATGTCGGCGGGCGCTTCCGTTTGGCTCGGCCCGGCTCTCAGCTCCTTTTTCCATGTGAATCTTGCGATTTTCCTGTGACAGATGGCGTAGATCTGATGTCTCTTCAGCCCGTGCATGTGTTTGAAACGCTTCTTGCAGTGGACGCAGTGATACGGCCGCTCCTCTGTGTGACACTGGATGTGCCTGTTGAGAGTTTTGACGCTGTCGAACGCTCTGGCGCAGACGGGACACACTTTGAGGGGCTTTTTACCGACTTTGTGCACCTCTGAAGTCTGCTTCGAAGTTCCTGCAGCTGCACCGGGATTGTTTTCCTTCTTACCAAGCTCATCTGTATCACCTAAATTCTGAGTTTCAGCTTCAGCGAGGATCTGCTCCAAAGTCTTGCTCTGTTCCTCTCGTATCCCCTCGTGACCGTGAATGATCTGGTGCTTCTTTAACGTGTCCTTGTACTTGAAGCCTTTCTCACAAGTGATGCAAATAAAAGGACGCTCCTCTGTGTGAGATCGCAGATGCTTTGCGATGTCAGCGGTGCACGGTAGGACCCTGCTGCAGATTGGACAGATTTTCCCCTCAGCTGCTCCCTCTGATGGAGGCTGTGGGTTCAAGCGCTGCGCCTCTTTCTTCTTCGGTTTTTTGAGCTCTCTGCTCTTACAAATCTCCCTCTGGTGCCTCTTCAGAACGTAGGGGTTCTTAAATTTCTTCTCACAGAAGCAGCAGCTGTACGGGCGGTCCTCTGAGTGGGACTTCATGTGGCGCTCCATGTCCACTTGACGGGCGAAATACTTCCCACACAGACCACAGTTCTTGTTTTCGAACCCGTCAGAAGTGCTCGGATCGATGGAGTCCTCCTCTTTGGCGCTTACACTCTCCTCCTTCTCGTGGACTCTCATGTTGTGTCGGTTCATGTCGTAATGATCCCTGAATCTCTTATCACAGTTGGCACACTTATACTTCAGATCCCGATTGGCTGAATGAGTTTCCAAGTGTCGCCTCATGGCTGCAGCCCTCAGGAAGCTCTTATCGCACACAGGACACGTCTTGTTGTTCGGATATTTCTTTCTCTGCCTCTTTTCCATCGCTGAGTCCATCACCGAGTCCGTCTCTTCAATCAAAGCTTTTCTCTTTGACTGGATCCGTTTGCTTTGTTTCAGCGGTTGAAAAGCCGCCGGCTTCAGGGCCTCACTGACGTCATCTTCGGGGTTTTCCACTTGGAGGATGTCGTTTCCTTCCTGGTCATCCGGCTCCATCAGACCTGGCGGCTGCTCGATTTGAATGTAGTCCAACAGAGTCACAGTCTCGCCCTCCACCTGGACAGTCACGCAGTCTGACGAAGGCTGCAGCTGGAGCTGATCCGAATGGATGACGACTTTCTCCAGCTGAGGGAGGGAGAGCGAGGAGAGGATGCAGTTCCCGAAGGAGGAGGGAATGGACTGAGATTCGTCTGTGGAGAGGATGAGAACCAAGTTAACCACAACCCAACTCCTAAAACAAAAGTTAGGATACCTCTAAGAATGTCAATAAAAATGGAAAGTGCTGATTTGGAGCTTATTTAAATCAAATATAAGATTGAAAACAGTGCAAAGAAAACAACTAACTTTGATGCATCTGAATTAAACAAGTCAATATACCTGTGAACAACATGAGTGGAAATTAAAAAGCTCTCAAAAGAGGCTGAGTTTCAGAGAAATAAAGATCGGAAGACTTTTATCTCTGTGCAAAAGAAAGAAGCCAAAAAACAATTCTGGATGGACATCAACTACAGGCCCTCATATCACTTAAAACAGACATAACTCTGTAGTAGAAGTCACTGCATGGGCTTAAAATCACTCCTAGAAACCAATGTCAATGAAAACCGTTCATCACCGCATCCAAGAATGAAAGTTTAATATGATCCAGAAATGCCAAAAACGTCTCTGCATCTGAGCCCACAACATTTTCTGCCACCCAAACAGCGTCTTTTACTTTTTGTGTATCTTAGCAAATATTTCCGACTTTTCACCCACTGAAATTCTTTATCAGGCAGAAATGGGACGACTTTTCACTTTCTAAACTTCCATAAACTCTTTTTCTTGGTGTTCAAATGTTTACAAAATGTTGAAAGAAGAGGTGATGCAACACAACGGTACACATGCCCCGTGCTGACTGTTTTGAAACATATCATATTTGAGTGAGCGCACATTTGTCACAAAACCCCTAAATCATTTACTTTAACCATTTGTTATGTTGTCTTTGCAGTATTTTTATCCACATTTTTACATTTTTTGTTGGAATTGGGGTCTTAAATCAATTCAGTCACATAATCACTCTGTTTGACTCTCCAGTGACTCAGATCTGTTTTCTGGGAATTTCGTCAGAGCAGCTTCATTTCAGGACACAATGTGAAACAAGTCACACAGCGACTAAAATTAGGATCCGTTTCCTTGTCTGAGCATAAAAGGTGCTTTTCAGTTGAGACTAGAGGACCCATTGTGTAATCTGCAATGTTTTGCTTTACTTTGGAGCTACTGACCAACCCTAAAAAAAGCCCTGAGCAACTTATCTCTATGACATTTGTTCCATTAGCTTACTGAGACTATCAAAGATTCAATCAGATACCGGGCTGAAAAGGTTCCTTGATCCCCAAAAAGTCAAAGCTGAATTCGGAGAAACTCAGTTTCTTGACTATCTGACCTCTTGGATGAACTAAAACTGATTTAGAAAACGTGACTCACCACATAAATCAAAATGTCCCAGAGTTGTGTGGTGCATGAGCACAGTTTTCAAGTGACGTGGGTCAGGAACAGAGTGCACACACTCCTCCAGTGCTGATGGGACAGCGCTGAGCATGGAGGCAGTCTGCAGAAAAAATACAAGGAAACAAATGAGGAGCCAAAGATGTGACCAGGGTTGGATATCATTTGATTTTGAACGATTCCGATTTCGATTCCTATCGATTCTCTATTTCGGTTCTTTTAAAAGGCAGGATATTTATTTTAAAAAAGGAATGGTTTAAATGAGGGTGTGTTGAGTTCTTCTTTTTGGATGTAATTTCTGAACTTCTCCATGAATTTTTTCATTCTATTAACTTTTTAAGAACTTTACTATGAATTTCTCACAGGGCTGTTTGCAACCAGTATATAAATATCAATTTTTGTTGTCAGGTGGTCTGTCTAAGTACAAGGGCTAACGTTACTTGGATATTTAAGTTGACCCATGTGACTGAGTAAAAAGTTTGAGTTTTGACCAATAAAAGATGCAACTCAAATACGCTTCTGATAGGCCAGCTTTGTTGTTTTGTTTACAAGTAAAATGAATTTCTCCTTACTGATAAAAAACATGGTTTTATTTCTCACACTGGTTTTAGTACCTGCTGAATGTCCGGCACTGGAAGAAGCTTCTCCAGCCTGGAGAGGAAATCCAGCATCAGTACCTGCAGAGCGCTGTCATAGTCGGGCCCAAAATCTGTAGGAAAAACGTCCTGGAACACAGAAAAGGTCATTTTACACACTAGGAGCAAATTCCAATGACTTACTCAGTTGTTGTTACAAATGCCTCTTTCATTACTGAAGTCACCCTTTGAACATCATGAGACACCAACCTGGAAAAACTTCTCCTTCTCCTCAGGGTCTTTCAATAGCAGCTCGATTTGATCCACAAAGTTTGATTCAGGGAACTCAACTTCTGCAAAACAAGGCTTGAAAAATATACAAACATGTAGTTAAAACTCCAAATAAGATGGAATCTGATTTACAGCCTGACTACACCACTGCTGACCAACATATGCCATCTGAAGGAACTAACCTGTGCCGCCCAAGTGGAAATAAGGGTCCTGATCCGCTCCAGGTGCATATCAATGGTTTCTGTGTCTGTTATCGCCTCGGCCTGACACAATTCAAGAACCACCTGCAAACAAACAGATCCCCCCCCCGGGGTAAGGAGAACTGACATGACAGCACCTGGAAATGTTGTTCATTAACAGCAGCCTCACAGGAACCAGTGCTGGGAAATGAAAATGAGTCTGCACACTGCCTTCCAGGTGCTGCTGACATTTCCCTTCAAAGGAACATTAAACCTCTTCATCAGCTGCAAATTCACCATCTGTCAGGCAGGGATTTAGCTTTATGATGTTTAGATGCTGTGTGTATTTAGATAATGCGGGTATGATTACACTCATTTCCTGCTTGACGACAAAACAATAGGTTTCAAACATTTGGTTCTGACAGCTTAACATCTGCGAAAGATAAACCAATCTGCCGTGTGTACTCATTGACACGGGGAATAAAAGCGCAGCCTTACCCGTGCTCTGAGGCCCAGGAGGAGTTGAGCTTTCTGGTCTGCGTTCAAGAGCTCAGGTACTATTTCTGATACAGTGGTGATGAACTCCTCCACCATCCCGTAGTCTTGAACGCTCCCCCTTTGGACCACCTGCCACATGGCTGCAGACACCAGGCGCAGGGGGGGTATGAAGAGGCGAAGAGAGGGCAGCAGGAGCGGCAACTCTGGAAAACGTTTGACAATGTCAAAACTTAGACTGTAACTCAAGTCTGACTCATTGAGTTTAGGTGCTTCACAAGTTTATTCACAGCAGTAATTTCTTTCTTTTCTTCTTTATTTATCTCAAACTTTAAGAACAACAAAAAAACAACTAGAAACAAAAACACCAAACAAAATAATAGATATGTACCCCAAACAACTGTACATGTCAAAGATAAATTAACACAACATATGTGTGTCCAAAATAAACAGTTTGCGAAGGAACAGAATGAAGCAAAAAGCTTATCTAGTCCTGCCCCTTCCTTAAAAAATAGAGATTTAAAAAAAAGAAAAAAAAAATCAATTTGTATAAACTACAAAGATCTGTATAAACAGATACATTTATTCACAAAAATACCTGATCAACACCCAATAGGTTACTTATTATAGTTACTTGCATATTATAATAATGATCAGTGTTATAATATTCAGAATCAATATTACTTTTATGCAATCAAGTATATCTAGTATAAAACCATATTTTTTTGTCAATTTACTTATATGAATCTGTTAATACTTCTCTATAGTTTTATTTAAATACTTTTATGTTATTAGACATTTTTAAAGTGATATCCAGGCTGTTCCAGAGTTTAACACCATTTAGGAAACACTCAATTATTGTCTCTTTGTACACTAAAATATTCCACAGATAACACAGGAGCACTGACATAAACCCATATCTTTAGGGTCTCTGTTCAGTTAACCTGCTGTACACCAATCTCAATACTGTCAGAACTTAGACTGTAACTCAAGTCTAACTCTGATTGAGTTTAGGTGCTTCACAAGTTTATTCACAGTAGTACTTTATTTCATTTAAGAAACACTGAATTATTGTCTCTTTTTACACTAAAATATCCCACAGATAAACACAGGAGCACTGACATATATCTGTACCTTCAGGGTCTCTGTTCAGTTAACCTGCTGTACACCAATCTCAATACTAACATTAGTTGCCTTCATTGGCGACCCAAAGTGTAGGAAATATCAGAACCCACGATTCAGCGACTATAAAAGTTTCAAACATGGCTTCGATAATCGTTGCTTTCTGCTCTAACTCAAGTTAAGGAAACATTGCAGAGGTTTTCAAATTATTACTAAAATGTTGCATCGTAAATCGATAACAATCTGCCACCGGTTTGCTTGATGTCTTGTATTTTTGTTCAATGTCCCTGAATGCACCACCTGCCAGCCGTTGCGGTGCTTTTTACGAGTTGCTGACTAACGATAACGATAACAACACTGCTGCAGCAATAAAAGTCCTAATGTTGTGGAGGACATCAGTTTTAAACAAGTCATTGATCTTATTGATTCATATTTTAGCCGACTTGAAACCCTTACCGGTAACTACCAGCTCGCGGGAGCAGTAACGTTGCACAAAGCCACCGCCATCTCAGAGCGGGGTACGCCATATTCGAAATCGTGCGCACACAATCCAATAGAAAACCCAATAACTCACGATGAATGACACGTAATCTAACTCTCTTTTGCTTACCTTGCTCGGTTCGGTGTGGACTTTCCATTTTATCACTGACAATGTTCAAACAGGTGAAGAAATTAACTCCGGGTTGTTGTGAGTCAATGTCCGCCCGACCCTGCGGTGCAAGCTGGCGGGGAGGAAGGGCGGCTCGATAGCTTCTTCTTCTTCGTTTTCTTTTTTGGCGGTTGACAAACCAGCTGGAAGGTGCATTACCGCCATCTATTGAACTAGAGTGTAGTTCTATATACATAAATATAACTGTCCACCAGAGGGTGCTGTTTGTATACAAAACTGCCATGCTATAAATAATAACACATTTTATAAGTCTTTATCAATATGGATAATTTAATAAATTAGTATACCTTTGTATCTGACAGAAACATACTCGTAGTATAAAATTGTGACATGTTATTCTTAAAGCAGTTTGTGGACTTTATCTACTGTCAGCCTACAGTTTTGTAAGAACGATAGAAAAAGGAGTGAATCTAAACAGATTTTTTATCTCCATAATTTTATTACCCACTCACAAAGAATGCTGCAAAAAATATGAGCTTGAAGCCCAAGTCCAGAGTTGTGTTGTATCAGTAGATTGTGACTTATACTCTAGCTAACCCAAATAAATGTTTTTACTCACTTTTATTTAAGGGGAAAAAACAAAACTACAAAACTACAAGCTAAAAGTCCTGGGCACCATGTATTGGAAGCTCCTATTTGCCAAAATTCTCAGCAATAAATATAATGCCCTAAAATAGTAAGTCACAAGAACAACTGCTAAAAACCTGCGAATTAAAGACATATTTTAATTTAGATGTCACATCCTAATCTAATGTGGGTATTAATTTCTGCTTAAGTCCAGTGACAACTCAACTTTTTCTTCAAAAATTCACCAACCTCTGACTTCCTTCCTCATAACACCACTGTTTTACCTCTCCGGAAACACCGGGCCTGGTTCCCCAGGATTTGCTTCAGGATCTCCTTTGCGCCGAGGGCTGCCTGCTTGACTTGCATTAGGGTGTCAGTTGCATACCACACTGCACCACCGGATACCATCCACACTTGAGGATGAGCTCTGCACCCTTTTATCTTGGTACTTTGGCTCCTGGACTTTAAAATTCGTCATGGATAAGGTTCGAACCCACCACCTCAGGAGTCCCAGTCAGTTTCCTTATCCTCTGAGCCATGTGAACACAATCCTGACATTTTCAGGAACCCTTTTCACCCTTTTTTAAACACTGGCCTACAATAATTCTTCAGACATCACCAAAAAATAGGCAATGTCTGGAGATGATGAGATAAATTTATCCATTTTAAGGGGAAAACCAGCTTTGTAATGCCACAGAAGATGAATAAATCCAGATCTTGAGGCAACAACCACAGTTTAAAAGAAATGTATGGTTGTACGTCTGTTTAAGGCTTCTGTGGTATATTTTCAAAAAGACAGAAACAAGGACCCCCACCATCACCACCAAAAAAAAATGTAATCCCAGCCAAGTTTACTCCAGACTTTTATGGCCTTGTATTTCTTCCCCTGACTGACTGCGGACAGTGCACTGCTTTTTCAGAGAGCTGTCACGTCTTTTAGTATCTACTAAGAATCATTTGCAGGTTGAAGTTAAGGGGTCGATAAAACACTGTGGTCTGGACTGTGGCCAGACTGGTAACATTTCTATTCAGGGCATGCTCCTGTCGCCATACTGAACAAAGTTAAAGCAGCACTTGAAAGTGGCCTTTATGTTTGTTTGCTTATATTTTTGTTTTATTGAGTTTTCTTCAATATGTATTGCATTATATTATTATCAACACACCTTGACCATCCTGCATCTATAATTACATATACTATGAATCATCTACTTTCTCAAAAAATATCCTCTTTCCTCAGTTCAAGTTTGTTTAATTTACTAATTTTTAAAATTGAACTAACTATATTTGACCAATTGTCATGGTAATATATTTCAATTGATCATAATTGATAACTTTAACTTACAAGGTTTAAGGCTTTCTTTCAAGGAAACATGACTAAACCAAATGCTGTTGCACCTGTTCATTCTGATTTACTGTCGACTTGCTATCATGTTAACATTTAGCAACATAGCTGGCTCGCTATGTACACCACAGCAGTGAGTACAGAAGGTACAGTTTCAGTTTGGTCACAAATTAGGATGGTATTTGGCACAAAGCCTGAGCATTAGGGTATCACAAGAGTACTCACCTCCTCTAGGAAACACAAGTTAAACTCTGTGCCACATTTTAAAGAAAAAAAACATATGACAAAAATAAACAAAATATGACAGATAAATGGTTTAAACTCTGGTCGTTTATTAGCTGTTCACAAAAGCATGTTATGGAACCACAGAAACTGCAGCACGAGTGTAACATTTCTGTTTGTTATACTCTACCACATCCCTGCTTCTCACACCATGTATAATTTATATTTCATATATATATATTTTGTACAATATACATGTTCTCATCAAAGGAAAAAATAATAGCAAAAGTCCATCCCACCCCTTGTGGATTTGAGTGAATAATCCCATGCATGTTTCCACTGCGTCTAGGAGAAATGTTGTTTATTACCAGGAACAAATACGCAGGCAAATAAATGCTCAGACAAACTAATGGGAGAGTCCTGTGGAGACAAAGCTGGTGTACAAAGCACATTCTCAACAACATTAAACAAGAAGAGCCATGCGACCCGACAGTTACTCTACAGCTTTGACCCAGTTTAGAATCAAAGCGCCAGTACAGGGGTAAGCTAACGTTAGTCTCTTGCTAACGGCATAACATTAAGACTAATAAAAAAACAGATTAAAGTCTTCCAGCTTATTTATATTCTAACACCATATTCAGCTGCTGTTAGGAACACAATAAGACTTGAACTTAAGCTCACCGTTAAAATACTTTGTGAGGCTACAGTAACACTGGCACAAAAGTGCTTGACATCATTGTGAACCTTTTTGCCTCCGTGGAGACAAAATGGTTTGCATCTTAAGGTTACAATTCACCTTTAAATAGCAAGTTTCAGTTCAAATGTGAGCATGTGTAATGATTTCATACAAAGGCATTATGACATAAAGGATTTGCCTTAATAAATAAAATCTTTCAGGATAAAATCTATGGACTTTGAGTAAGAAATATTCATTTAAAGTGAGTGAGATAAAAGAAAATACACCAAGGGATGTCACAAAATATTGGAACGATATAATAGCCAGGCTTTTTCAGTCACTCATTTGAAAATGTTACCTGTCTTTAAATTCACATTTATACTGTAGCTCCATATCCTGTGGCATATTGTATGGAAATATTGCTTAAATTCAAAGCTTTAAAGCATCTTTTTATATAATCTTTTATACTTTTGTAAAACAAAATAGCTGTGGAATGTAAAATAAAATATATTTACTGCTATGTGTGTAGGTAAGAAAATAAAGTCGTCAGATAATATTTATAGTCTTTTCTGTAACTATTTACAGAACTTAAAACCATCTCTTGTATGCCTTTTATGTTTCTCTTTAAAATTTTCTTTTGGCCCAAACATGTTTACATAATTTTTGTGTGCTACAATATTAAAAGTCATAAGATTGGTCTTTTCTCTTAAGATACAGTCTGATTTATGTTGAAACAACAGCACAAAGTATGAGGAGACATTTGCATTGTGAGCCATTGAAAACAGAGGGAAGCATCATTTTTTTGGTTTGTTTCTGGATTGCACCTACTGTAAATATCTATATAGTTGCATTGTTACATTCAATAAATATACTCTGGGTTTTGCTATTTCATAATAAATTCATTTATATATGGTGTCTCAGTGAAAGAGGTAATATGTTTTTTAATATTGTTGAATAAAACTTCAGATTTTATCCTTTTTGGCGAGTGTGCATCAGGACAACAGGGCAGCTCAATAATCTGGTTATGCGTTTGGTCCTTTTACAAATAATAAGTGTCTCTAATGAAAAAGGTTGAATCTAAAGTAGTGGGGATTTTTTGTTCTGGGTTGATTAAATACATGTCATTCCAGATTTGGTCAGGCACAAAGTCCCAATATGAAACAACAAGTCTTTGTACAAAAGCTGCAGGGGGAGCAAATCTAACAACACCTGAGCCAAATCTCCAAACACCTGAGCCAATTTGCACATAAATGATGTGAAAAACAACACTTAGGTTTAGTATTGTTTGATCTGCCTCTCCTACAGCTCCGTTTTATTGCCTTATTTTGGATTGTCGGTTTAATCCTTTATGTATTAGCCACTTTGCCCTTGCTTTTCTAAACTCTCGTTACATTCTTCACAACTGAATGTAACTCATTTCACTTCAATTCAAATTTTTCATCACTTATTGATACACTAACAGTCATTTTGTATTTTGGCTTTAGGTTATATATTTTGTTGCTTCATGTTTGGAATTTGATAACTGACGAGAATTTCTCTTTTGGAAACCATGCGCTAATCCAGATAGAATCTAAAATCCTGTGTTAATTGGTAACCCATTCCTAATAGCAAAAACCACTTCATGAAAATTAGTCCAGCCATTGACTGTACACAAAATGGAGAATGTCTCTCCAGAAACGGTTGACAGAGCTTTCAATCAACCATCTTTTTAAAATCAAATAACCAAAAACAAAACTTCTCAAATTAACTCATCAGTTAAGATGATATGAAGTAATTATAATGATGGCAACTGTTTTCAAGTGTATTTCAAATGAGTAATATAACTATAATTGATAGTCTGACCCATGTTCTGTCTATTAACACTAAGGAGGCTGGGCTAATGATCTATACTGTATCCAGTTGGCAGGGGGCGCTCTTGACCTCTTAGGTTCACAGTCACCGAACATTTCCACCAAGTGGTTGGTACAGTTTGGTGTTGTAAAACCTCAGTGTGTTTACATGCGGTTAAATCAGGCTGAATTAGTTTGACTGGGCAATTTAACTGGTCTACTGTCTCTGTGCCTGTCAACAAGTAACAGGTAAGAACGGATTTATTGACCAATGTATGTCTGTCTCTGCTACATTAGGTGAGGCTTGTTATAATTGGGCTGTTTTCCTATTGACCAACAGTGTCACATAGAAAATTGTGGGGGGCTAAAGGGTTTCATTTTGAATGATGAAAGCATAAAAAACCGAACAGCTCTGTGCCTTTCATACAAGCAATATTATGGCTTCATACTTTTTTTA